GGTAAGAAAAACCATGCGGGCTAATGACTGATCCGAGCGAGTTTGTGTACAGGGAGAAGAGGAGGGGACCAAGAACAGAGCCCTGAGGGACCCCCGTAGTTAATTGACAAGGGTCGGACTCAGACCCTCTCCAAGTCACCCTGTAGGTACGGTCTTTCAGGTATGAGGTGAGGAGGGAAAGTGCAGAGCCTGAAACTCCAAGTTTTTGGAGAGTGCGAAGGAGGATCTGATGATTCACCGTGTCGAATGCAGCAGACAGGTCCAATAGGATGATGACAGAGGAGAGGTATGCAGTTTTGGCAGTGTGCAGTTCCTCCGTGACAGCAATGAGAGCAGTTTCTGTGGAGTGACCTGCCTTGAAACCAGACTGGTGCAGATCCAGAAGGTTGTTCTGATGGAGATAGCAGGAGAGTTGTTTAAAGACAGCGCGTTCAAGTGATTTAGACAGGAACGGGAGGAGAGAGACAGGCCTGTAGTTTATAACATCAGACGGGTTGAGAGTGGGTTTCTTTAGGAGAGGGTTTACTCTTGCCTCCTTGAGACTGTTTGGAAAGTGACCAGAAGTTAGAGAAGTGTTGATGAAATGGGTGAGAAACGGTAGAATATCAGGAGCGATAGTCTGAAGGAGGTTTGAAGGGATAGGGTCCAGAGGACAGGTGGTAGGGCGGGCAGAGGTAATGAGGGTAAGAACCTCACTTGGAGAGAGAGGGGAAAAGGAGGTAAGTGTGTTGGTGGAAGGAGGGTCTGGTGACCCAGCGGTGAGTAAAGGTGAGTCAGTACTTAGGACAATAGATATTACCTTACACCGTCAGCAACTGTAAACTGCTTTGGCTTAGTGGAAGTGAACACCATGTCACTCACTCTGCCTGGTTTCACACCCTATTAATTACACAAAAGAATTGTCAAATTAATTGAAAAGGTCGTTAATGCAACATACTAGATCAGCTCTTGGCACAAAGGAAATACTCATTAAACCATGGATTGGTTGTGAACACATACTGTACTTACCATGGTTCTTGGCTTGTACCATCGCTGCTCTGTTTCAGTGCAGCTGAGGACAGGGGGGACAGCAGCCAGGTTGAGTGTGGAGTAGTGTGCGGTCTGGAACAGCAGTGCAACATTGTGGTTGCAGAGTGCTGTTCCAGCTACACAGGAACACTTTGCCACTGCAATCTCCACAGGTGAGCAGTTCTCAAAACAAAATGTCAGTCATTTTACATTTAGGAAACTGCTTCAATACAACACAGACAAATGATAAAGCTGAGAGCAGGCTGATCAGGCAAGTAGTAGGTGTGGGAAAAGACTAAACCATTTCAGGTTGTCAGTCACATCACATACACAGAAGTTCTGCTGTTTGGAATACTGTAATACTCTCTGGAATACTCTCTCAATGTATTATCTTATATTATAACTACATAAATAGTAGAACATTGAACAGCTTAACATAGATGTACGGTACAAAACCAGCACTGGCCCATACAAATAACTGGACCCTACATGGATTATACTAACCATTCAGTAAAGAACAGCAGCCATCACAACCAGTTTCTGGGGTTTCCATTAAAGCAGAGACGGTTTTCAACCTCTCATTAAGAATATTTGATGAAAGCTAAGTTTGGGTTTAGATAATGTATTTATCATTTTACAGGAGAGCGTTACAAAACGAAAATAAATCTGTAGCCCCTTCATGCTACACACACATAGCTAGCTACCAGTTGATGTGTGCAAATGTATTGTCATTATGTAATCTGTTGCAACACGTCAGCTAGCTGGGCTTATTTGAATCCCAAATCACAGGTTACCTACTCTAGCTACATCAAAACCCCAGAACATGAACCTGATTGAGGCTTTGAACCGATGAACACTTTTTATTTTCCTCCCTACTTTGAGATCGTGAGGCTTTTCATGCTTTCTCATGGACCTGTAACAGCTAGCCCTGATGCTCACTCTCCCTGAAGGTAGATCTTTGTTTGAAACTGTGGGTAATTGGATATCATTCATGTTATCCAAAAAAACGTAATAGTAGCCTACATCATTAAAACGCTCTACACTGTATCAAGACTGTCAATTTGTCAAAGTTAGCCAGTAACTACAGCTTTGTTTGTCACTTACCTTCATAATTGTCGACGTAGCTGGATATGTAGCTCCTCGGGGCTGAGGCTGCCGCTTGTACCAGCCGATGTACATCACTGATGTTAAAGATCAAATGCAAAGCTTCCAAATATGCTACATTTTTATAGAAATGTTGTTTTTAAGACTGCCTGTATTTTTTTATTTTATTTAAATTGAGATAATACACCCAAAAAAAAGCTTTTTATTGATCCAAAACTCGACCCAAAGCCGTCTGAATTTCTGACATGTAATTCCCAGCAGCCTCCGCGGAGCGCGTGACGTAATAGTGGCCAAACAGTCTCTGGACCAAATATCCCGACTCGGCAGTCTCGGTCACATGTTTTTCGAAAAGAAAACTGAATTAACATGGGTTATTGTTGAGCTTTTTGTTGTACGAACGGTGCGGGATCTGGGAGAGTTTTACATGCATTTCCCAAAGACCAAATCATCCGCAAAAAATGGATTTTTTTAGTGAATCGTGTTGGATGGCAACCGACAAAATGGAGCAAGTTGTGTTCTGACCACTTCGCGTGTGATGCATACGACGTTGATCCTGCTATCATGAAGTCTGTTGGTGGAGAAGCATTAATAGCACGTCGGAGGCTGAAACCCGGAGCCGTCCCCTCCACATTTCAGCACAAGAAACCACTGAAAGAACGAAAGAGCCGGGCGATGCAGAAACGCCAAAGAATTGAGGTAAACAACTTTTGATTAGATTTCAAAGCGCACGGAGCACAGCAGATAACGCAGATAACGGAATTGCAGTTGTATTGCTTATAGAGGTGGGCACCGTTAGATTATGTGTCTTTACGATCATAAACAATGTGTTGGATGTGGAGCTAGGATAAGTAATAAGGGCGCTAGGAGTGATAGGTTAGCATTTTTCGCTCGGGGCTAATTCACTGTTAGCATTGTAGTTTATCTGCAGCTCATTCATCGCTCCTCCACTCATAACGGAACATGTCGAACGTCCTACAGTCGGTGATGCAGACTTCTTCTCCCATCTCTTCCTTCACTTTCCCATAGTTGTGGCAGCACTTGTTTTCTCGGCTTGTATGCATGGTCTGGCAGTTTCCACATCTACACCAATTCTCAGCACCCTCGGCCTCTTCCTCAGATGGCGAACTTGAATCATCGCCATCAGCACTTTCATCGGTGATATCAGGTGACGTTTCCTTGTATTTCCTCTTCGACATCAGAGGCTCGTATATATATGGTTGGATGTAGGGCTGCAACAAACGACTAATTTGATAATCGATTAATCTATCGATTAATGAAACGATTAATCGACTATTCGGACTATTATGCCTTGCACAATTTCTCAAATGCCATCAACTTTTAGATGTAGCTTGAGGTTGTTTTAGGCATGTGGAAACTAACAATGAAGACAATAAAGATGAATACTTGATTCAAAAAATGCATATATTATTAAATTAACTAAACACATTTTGAACAAAACTAACATTGCTTTTTATTTAAAGTAAATAAATAATATTTCACATCAAAAGAAACAACAGTGTTTTAACAAATCGTATTAAATAATGTGATGACAGAACTGTAAACAGAATAGCTGAAACTTTAACAAACTAAATAACTCTGTTACCTCTAATCATTAACCCATGTTTGTATAATGTAGTTAACTCCGTGTGTTGCTGCTAGCATACATAACACCTGACGTGGAAACGTTACTCGTGGATGGGGCTACAGAGCTACTAGAAAGACAGTCGAACCCGGTGCATTCCTCCGTCTGAATGTGGTGTACTTTTGCTAAATGTTTAGACAAATTGCTCGTGTTAGCATTTTCCACATCGAGACGGGTAACATTTAACCACACCTCGGAGCGCGTTCTCTCCGCCATCTCCGCAGTGTGTTACTGCATGTAGCAGCCGCGTGTGTGTAAACTGCCCCGCCCCCTCGCACACAGACGGGGGAGAAAGATCTCTCTTCTGGATTGGAAAGATCGAAAATATATCATAGACGCATTTGTTTGTCTTTTTGCATATTAGAAACAAGTTGGCGACACTAAGACTGCGATATAATGCGTATGTAGCAATAATACATGACATATATTTTTTAAATGTCTCCAGTACCGATAAAAAGACCAATAACGTTGGAGTTTAACGGCGCGTAAAACACACGTGATGACGTCACCAACGAATCGACGACTGAATTAGTTGGCAACTAATTTGGTAATCGATTTTAATCGATTAAGTCGATTAGTTGTTGCACCCCTAGTTGGATGTCGACAACATACTCCAGATATTGGGTGGCCTCCGACTCAGAATCAGACATGATAGACGAAACTAAGTTGTACTATCGGCGGAAGCCGCTGTGAGCCGCTGCGAGCATTTTTCGCTCGGGGCTAATTCAGAGCGCCTGGACTTTATTTTTCTAAACCTCTCTAAAAAGGTCAAATTTCACTTGTTTTGCATCAATCTTGATACAGGGTACTTATTATATGTTATAGTTTGGATTCCTAAAGCTTTTAGTCTATAGTCTACTCAGAATCAGACATGATAGACGAAACTAGTTGTACTATCGGCGGAAGCCGCTGTGATTGATAAGCCAGGTGGAAATATGTTTGGCACATCTGACGTCACGCGCCGCCATCTTGCGGAGGAGCGGCGGAGAAAATAAATCGTCGGACTTGGTGTTGGGGGTTGAACAAAATTAATATTGCGCATTGCCAGACTCATATTATCTCCGATTTGAATACTGCAATATCTTAGATAGTGTTGTAGCTATATGATTTCGATTGTACTGGCAATTATACAAAAAGCTTTGCATTTGATCTTTAACCTTCGGTAGGTCTTGGAGACATCGAGTGTAAAATAGTGCCTATGGCCCAATCCCAAACCACTCCCTCGACCCTCCCCCTCCGTGACGGAGTGAACTCCGTCTGTAGGCACACTCACAGCTGAATGAAGTTCCCTCCATTAAGGGTTAAGGGTATAAATACAGCGGCAAGCTTTGGGACGGCCTCCCCTCTCTCCGCAGGAAACGGAAACGGACGTCATGGTGTCCAACTCACATCTCCATCTGTCGGCTGCATTGACCTGCGTTGCTATCCGTCGCCTGTTAGCGGGTGCAATGGCAAGATCCAACAGAAGGCGCAGAAGGTTGAGGCGCATTTTAGCGATGTGCCAGTGGCAGGTAAACATTTCAATATTGCTAATACAACAATTATCTTCACTTTATTTCTTATATAGTAGCCTATGAACTTTGTATGTGTAATACAAATAGATATTTAGATGTATTGTGATATACATTCATTTATTCATTCCTTATAAGCTATACGTGTATATCTGTATAGTGTCTGTAGAATTCCAACACAGAGAAATGTTGTCAGTAGTTTATAGAATTAAAAAGGTTAATTTGACTTGGTCTCAGAATTGTTTACAGAGCTGTGTGTGTGTGTGTGTGTGTGTGTGTGTGTGTTGGAGTATAGTTATTGAACAATACTGTGTCCTGTGTTTGTCTTTTACAGGGGGGCAAAGGTCTTTACATGCAGCTCAATGCCACTGCCCCAATTCTCGCCGTGTATGCCAACCCTGAAGCCTGTCTAAAGAAGGACTTTAGAGTTAAGCGATCTAGTGTGGTGTATTTAGTGCAGATGCTTTCCTCCCCAAAGGACCACGGATGGGGACAAGACATTGAGGTGCTTGTTCTCCTCTACAGCTTGGCCCATGGACTATCACTCTCTGTGGTGGGTTCAGCATTCGGGATTCCCAAATCGACGGTCCACAGGATCATCAAACACGTCACCGGGAAGATAAAGGCCAACCTGAAGACCCTCATTTCCCTGCCAACCCCAGATGAGCTGCCAGAGATTGCAGATGGCTTCTGTCAGCTTGCAAAGAGTCCTGCATTTCACCGTGCTGCTGGTGCGATTGATGGATGCCATATTCGCATCAAACCTCCAGGAAACGAGTACCACAAGGAGTACATCAATTACAAGCTGTTTCCTTCCATCCAGATGCAGGCCATCTGTGACTCAACTGGGAGATTCCTGGATGTCTTCATCGGCTATCCAGGCTCCGTTCATGATGCCAGAGTACTGCGAAACAGCCCCATCTTCTGCCAGGCACTGTTTCCCCCAGCTGGTTGGTTCCTCCTTGGGGACGGTGGTTATCCCTGCCTGGAAAAACCAGTGGGATTACTCACACCCTACAAGGTCCCTCGCGGCCAGGTGCAGGCCAGATTCAACAGGCATCATGCCAGGGCTCGGTCTGTGGTGGAAAGAGCATTTGGAAGGATGAAGGCTCGCTGGAGGGCCACCCTTTTCAAAGCGCTGGAGGTCAGTCCAAGCTTTGCCCCTGACATCATTGCATGTTGTGCATTTCTGCACAATCTGTGCATAGACATGAACGATGTCCTTGAGGATGCTGAAGCCTTCCCCCCTGAAGATGGGGACCAGAGTCCTCCCCCTGCCGCAGCATGTGGACAGGAAAGTCCTGGACACCACCTAAGGAACAGGATTGCTGCACAACTCTCTGCTCCTGTCCAAATGGCACCACACCTGAGAGAGCACGATTACATCTAATGAACTTTGTTTTTTTTTGGAAAAACGTGGTTGTCTGTTAACTTGTGTTTTTTAAATGATGTGCACACATACCTGATTTAATTTTGTTTGTTTTAGTGAGCTCCACTTCTCACTTTAGAGAAAAGAGGTGAAATAAAATAAACCTGTGCACCGTTGATTTCAAACTTGGTTTTCCTGAATTGTCTTTCTGTATAATCCCAAATTGGAGACAAATGTCCTTCCCTCTTGGATCATTCAATCACGAGCACAGAGCAAAGGTTCAGAAAATGAACACAGGTCTTCTAATACAATCACTTTTGTTTTTGAGTGAAACTCTGCAAATGGTTTGACATGAGCAATTAAGACCGTAAATGTCATGTATATTTTAATGCCTTATACCTATGAAGCGCACAGACATATCTTTATTTAAAATGCTGATATTCAGGGTTAATCTTCAGACTTTGGAAAAAACACTTTAGTTCCGTGCACAACATTACTTTGTGCAAAACTTTTCCTTCTACATTATGAAACCCACACAGAACAATGTAGCCATCTAACAATCAAGCAAACGCAATGTCACCTTCATCACCCGTCTACCTGTATTTACTATATCCCATACAATATTGAAGACATGAAGGACAGTACGTTAAATTAGGTTTATTGTCTTCCAAATAAATAATACAAGCGAACAAAAACAAGTCTTTTAAGTAACATCAATAATCAAACATAGAAATGGCCAATGGTGGGGGGGAAAAAATAAATCACATTTTGTCGACCATTTTTTCGAACAGGGTTAGAAATGTATCTGAGTGCTGCATTATTTCTCTGTGGCGTTCGTCCTCTTTTTCTGCCTCGCGTTCTAGGCACTCCAGCACTCCCATAGCACCTTTTCTTTTTTTGGGGGGGGGCTGCTGGGTGGTTCCAGCCTCAGACAGTGATGGTGAGGGGTCTGGATCATCAGCCACATTTGGGGGGGGGAAGGAAGAGGAGCAGGAAGCAGCCTCCGGATCAAAGAGGATTGTGGGGTTTGCCAAGGCTGAGGCAACAAGGACAGGAGGACTAATTGAAGGCCTTGCACCTATGGCCTCATCCATGGCCATGAAGAAGGGCCATGTTGCAGGGGTTTCTTCCCCCTGATCAGTCCCTGTTCCAGTCCTTGGCCTTTTAAGTTCCTATTGCAAACAAATGCATGTTAGAAATCTTTGTTCAGCTTTTTCAAAAACAAACATGTTTTACAATAACAATACACCATTTACCTTGTATTTCTTTTTTAGGTTCTCCCATTTCTTGGCGGCCTGTTTGTGAGACACATTTTGCCCAAGGTCCAGTTCCTTAATGATTGACCTGTTATCATAGAATATTTAAACAATATATATTGGTGTTAAGGCAATGACCCACAGTGCACATTCATTACTTTCATTGCACAAAATATGAATTGAGTGCATAACTCACTCCCATGCTTCTTTGGCAGCATTGCGTTTTTTGCAGAACAGGTCATCCTTTTCCATTCTTAAAGCAATAAGTGCCTTGGTTTTTACCACAGTCCCTGAAATTACAAATCACACTTAAGTTTGTAATATACATGGATCGGATTTCGAGGCGTAGTCATGGGGGAGGGGGTCTGCAGTTCGGTGGACTAAGGATTGCACCACTGCTTTTTGCAGATGATGTGGTTCTAATGGCTTCATCGGTCTTCGACCTTCAGCACTCACTGGATCGGTTCGCAACCGAGTGTGAAGCGGCTGGGATGAGGATCAGCACCTCCAAATCTGAGGCCATGGTTCTCAGCAGGAAACCGATGGACTGTCCCACTTCAAGTAGGGAATGAGTCCTTACCCCAAGTGAAGGAGTTCAAGTATCTCGGGGTCTTGTTCTCGAGTGAGGGAACAATGGAGCGTGAGATGGGCCGGAGAATCGGAGCAGCGGGAGCGGTACTGCAGTCGCTTTACCGCACCGTTGTGACGAAAAGGGAGCTGAGCCAGAAGGCAAAGCTCTCTGTCTACCGGGTCATTTTCGTTCCTACCCTCACCTATGGTCATGAAGGATGGGTCATGACCGAAAGAACGAGATCGCGGATACAAGCGGCCGAGATGGGTTTTCTCCGCAGGGTGGCTGGTGTCTCCCTTAGGGATAAGGTGAGAAGTTCGGTCATCAGAGGGACTCGGAGTTGAGCCGCTCCTCCTTCGCGTCGAAAGGAGCCAGTTGAGGTGGTTCGGGCACCTAGTTAGGATGCCACCTGGGCGCCTCCCTAGGGAGGTGTTCCAGGCACGTCCAGCTGGGAAGAGACCAAGGGGTAGACCTAGGACCAGGTGGAGGGATTATATCTCTTCGCTGGCCTGGGAGCGCCTTGGGATCCCCCAGTCAGAGCTGGTTGATGTCGCCAGGGAAAAGAAAGTTTGGGGCTCTCTGCTGGAACTGCTACCCCCGCGACCCGACCACGGATAAGCGGGAGAAGATGGATGATGGATGGACTTAAGTTTAAACCGATTTCGTAAGTGAATGGATACATGAATTGACACATGTGTTGTTAGTTTGATTCCGATTTAGATTTGTACATCTTCAAAATAAAAATCTAATGTAATCTTGGCAAATCAAATTAACACGTGTAGATTTATAAATACATGTTCACAAAGGCATGTTTTAGTTAAGGCAACGTATTATTTATCGTTTAAAAAAATAACCACATGGAACTCACATTTGTATGACGTTGTTTCCTCCATGCCCGAAAAACGGTTGCACACCTGTGGAGTGAGATTATCAAGCCTGCATCCATGCAAACTCGCTGTCGGAGGCTTTTATAACCCACTATGCCTCCGCCCTGATTGCTTTGGACCAGCCCTCAATATGGCGGACCCTTCGCGTGAACGCGCAAACGGAGGGGTAGGGTGTAGGGGTAGGGTGTACACTCTTAAAACTGCTGGGTTAAAAAATAACCCAACCGTAACCCAGCTGCTGGGTCACTATGGGACAGAACACGCGCTGGGTTGTTTTAACCCAAGTGCTGGGTTTGATAATTTTAACCCAAGTGATGGGTTGTTTATTTGACCCAAGCTAGTGGTTGAAATTAACTATATTGCTGGGTTAAATATAAACCATACATTGGGTTGTTTATTTGACTGAAGTGATTGAAATTAAATATATTGTTGGGCTAAATAGAATATAATAATAGTGTAATGAATTATCTCCAAACAGACTGTATTATCTTTCAAAAATGCATTTATTGGAAAAAAACAGAGAGACAACATTTGTAAAAAAAAAAAAAACATAATACAGACACAAACATAAAAAGGTAAATAAATATATGAAGTAAATTATATGTAAATCAAATCAGGTAAAGTAAGAAAAAGAAAATTACGTGCGTGCGAGTGTGTCTGAAAAGCATTTGGTCAGCAGCAGCAAACAGGTGTTGAGAAACAGAAGAGTTGGCATTCTCTTGCCATGCTTAACATTTCAAGCACAACAAAGAAAAAGTGAGAGGAAAGGAATTTGCAACTTTCAAATTAAATCGTGTAAAAATAATACTTGGAGAAAATGATGATGTGTCATGTACACAAAAGAGTTGATGAACTTGCAGAGAATTACCCAGAAGTTTCGATTAGGAGAAGAAAAACAGCTACAAGATGTTGCTTGTGAGATTGTACTCACTGGTAATGAGATACAAAAAGAGGTCGAAAAAAAAAAACTCTCGCTCAATATGACATGCCATTTAAGGAATGCAAAATGCTTGACTGATGGCAAATCATAAATAATGTTATTCAGCACTTCAAATTAATCACGTAATTGAATTTATCAAACGAGAGTACTACAGTATAACTGTGTGTGTGTGTGTGTGTGTGTGTGTGTGTGTGTGTGTGTGTGTGTGTGTGTGTGTGTGTGTATATAACCAGCCATTTAAGTTAAGCATGTTGTTTTTATTATCTTTTTTATGGAAGTATGAAAATTCTAGTAATTAAACACAGAAACACCCACCATTATTGAAGTAGAAAAACAAAAGTAAAACTTACTGGTTGGATATTGATGAAGGACTTGCAGGACTCCTCTATGGTCGGTCTGTGGACTTTTCCTCCACTCTTGTAGACCGATGGAGGAAGCAGAGTCGGCAGGACTTTCAAAGCTCGGCCTACGCAATATAAGAATAAAACATATTAAAATCAACATTTAAATAGTATATAAAGATTGATATTTCTGAAGCAATATTGACTTTTCTGCCCTGGTGTTGAATGGTAAAAACAAAGCGTGAATTATAATTATAATCACAGGAAGTGTTGTGGCATCTTATCAGAATCTGAATCTGTATTGTCACATCACAGGTTTACAGGTGTAAAACAGTGGGTGAAATTTGTTTTTGTGCAAGCTCCATCGCTTTGATTGTTTCCAGAAAGAGAAAGAAAAGGAAGGGGGGAGCAGGAATCAAAGAAAGACAACAAGGTATCTAATGAAGTGGTTCACAAACTTGTTAATGTATTTATGTATTTGTCCACAGACTCCCATCCGAAAACATGTTGTTCACGGGACCCCATACAAGATGATTGTTAAAATATTTTTAAAAATGCAGATGTAAGCTCACAACGAGTCTCATTGGGACGCAATGCAAGCTTGTAGATCTGCTATTTTCAAAGAACCTGTGTGTGTGTGTGTTACGTAAGGGATAATGTGCAGCGACGCGGTCAATATAGGGAAAAGAACATCCGACAGGCTGATCAGGAGCCCGAAGTGGAGGGATCTAGATCTGACCAAGTCGCTGCACATTATCCCGCTTATTACATGGCCACATTCTCAACAAAGCATCGAAATGACTCCCAATATTAATTTAAATGATTTTATAGATTTAGAAAATGTTTTTATTGATTTAATAAATAGTCCGCTATTATGTATTTAAAGTCACATGCATCCGCTAAGAAAAATAGTCCTTTGTTATTGTTTGAACTAACGTAGCAACGGCAGGAACTGCTTCGATCGCGTTTTTGAGGAGCTTTTTGATTACAGATTTGAAAACATCGTTGCTTGCTTTAAAAGTAGCACACTTCATGATGTCAAACCTTGGAAAGTATCTAGAGACCCCTGCCCTAATGCCAAAGGAACTGGCAACTGAATATGTGTCGCCGTTTGATGTCTATGTCTGGACCGCTGCGTAAAAAGGAGGGTTTCTGCCCCGTTACTTCTTCGCTGTTTTCTTGTCACTCTTGTCTTGTCAGTTCGAAAAGCAAACTGCATGCAGTTTGCTTTTCTGCCCAACTTTATCGACCTAACTTCTTTCTGCAGATGTGAGCGTCCTTAACAACGGTCAATAAATCTTTGACAGCGGTCTGTCTGTACTGGATTAACAACGTGTCACGTGTTCTGAATTGACCAATCAGAATTGAGTATTCAACTAAGCCATGTAATAAATAGTAAGAAATAGCTTACCTGGTGTCATGTCATCAAACACCAATGGCAGTTTTCCCTCTCGCTGGGCATATTTGAGGATTCGGTCACTCATAGTAGCCCAGTTCTGAAACAGTTTTCCCACTGCCTCTGGATGAAGCAGCTGGAAGTCTTGTGATATCTGATACATTTTGGAAAACATGAAAAACAACAGAACAGTGTTTAAAGAAGGATATGGGTTTGTAGTACCTGTTAGGAAAAGGGTTAGGGACAATTTGACAGCCAGTGTCACTTCAACAGGTCAATTATTAAATTATTACAGAGTATATACTGTAGGGTCTAAGTGGTTAAACATAAAATTGTAGTGCATTGCAGAGTATCAGTCAAATTGTCACGATCTGTCTGTGTTGTGTTTTGTCATGTCTAGATCCGTCTTTGGTTTCCTGTTTTATTTTGAAAAGTGCTCACCCCCCGTCTTGTCTGTTGCTTCCTGTCTCTGTGTTCCCTCCTGCCTGATAACCCGATTGTGTTCAACTTGTGCCCCTGTGTTTTCTCCTCCCTCCTCACCTGTGTCTGATTGTCTGATTGTGTTCACCTGTTGGCCTTGTGTTTCTGCCTCCCCTGCCCAGCTGTGTCTTGTCCTGTCTTACCCCTCTCTGTATTTAGTCTCGTCTTCCCCTGTGCTCCTTGTGGGTTCATTGTCTTTCATGTCACCCTCCATGTTTTGTCATTATCGGTTTTTGTCTGGATGTATACCTTGTGCAACCTGTTTATGGATTCATGGTTTTGTTTTTTCATTGTCAACAGCTTTTTGTAATTAAAGCTCGCCTTTTGTTACACTTTGAAACCCGCTTTTCCTCAATCTGCATTTGGGTGCTGCCTTACCTCAAATCCTAACACAAATAGAGTATCATTCAAATAGACAGAACCGCAATAGCAAAATAATTTCTTACCATGCCAGGATTGTCTACAAGCCTAGGGAACTCAGTCAAGATTTCCGGGAGGCTTTTAGATCCATTGCTGCGAATCCACTTGCCTCTATGTAGAGCTGTTTGACTCATGTAGTCCTCAACTTGGGACACTGGATACCTATTGACCTTCATCCATTCAACCATTTCTAGAAGTTTTTCAGGAGGCACATCAGATTCTGTTGAATGATAAGTACAGAGGTCCTCAGATTCATTATAGCTGATTTCAACCATTTGGGGTTCTGGCCCCTGACTGTGTGAAAAGTTGCCAATCGGTCCAGCGGTGCCTGAGACTAGCTTTTAGAAGATGGATGGACAGAAGAGTCATGGGACCGAAAATATAATACCTTGCATTTGTCCATTCTAGCCTGGCGGGGATAATTAACATTGGTTATTAGTATTACCTGGTGTACTGGGGACGGTCTGTTCCTCCTGTTGTTCTTGGTGGCGTGGTCTTTTCAGCATTCTCATGCGCTTCCTGACGTTCCTCAAGCGCTCCTCCAGGAAACCTGTAGAAGGTTTGTGATTTCGGCCAGGTGTGTACCAAGCTCCCTGTAAAAGAGAAAATTTGATTCAGCTTAAATTGGCCTGGCCTCATGTAACCATGAAGATGGTTACATGGGATTTTAAGGAGCAATCCAAAAATGTGTGTGTGACTGCACTACCGGGCGCGTTTAGAAGCAGAGCGTCTTGTCTGCTGGCTCGCAGTTTTGTTGATTTGGGCATATTTCCTGCACAGGCTACTTTGTACAGACAAAGTTAATAATAATTGTAATATCCCAGTTATAAACGACATGAATCAAGATGTGTTGCTGTATTTGAGTGGTAAAAAAATGCATTCATCATCATAATTAATTTACGCTGTTTTTTGCTACTAAAATACAGCAACACATCTTTGATTCATCTCGTTTATAACTGGGATATTACAATTATTATTAACTTGGTCTTTACAAAGTAGTCTGTGCAGGAAATATGCCCAAATCAACAAAAACTGCGAGCCAGCACGCAAGACGCTCCGCTTCTAAACGCGCCCGGTAGGGTAGGACGCAGACGCTACCCGACCCGCATTTCTTTAGGAATAAAAAAACGACCCACACCCGCCCGTTTTTCTCGGGTACCCGTGGGTACCCGACCCGATGCAGGACTCTGCCTCACGGTACAATATGCTAATTCTGTTGTATACAGCATCACTTGAAGACTATAATTTCAAAAACTGGATATAGCCTTCCTCTTTTTAATATATAACTAAATATGTAATAGTAACATCTCAACATTGTCTCAATAAAAATGAACTTACCTTTAAATGTCTCAATCAAGTGCTCAAGCTGCCATGCAGTCAACGTCTCTGTGACAAACGTGTCCATGGGGAAACCCTCACAAAACTAGAATAAAATCAGATTAAGTACATTAGAATTTCACAAAACTGTGCAGTGTCTTAACATGTATTGTAAGGTACCAAATAACAAATGTACAGTTACTACAAGGGGTCTGCCAAATCTATGTTAGATAGAAAAAAATGCTATGCTATGCTAAGCTAAACTAAGCTAAGCTAACATATGGTAACATGTGGCAGGGAACTAAATATGTAGTTCGGTGACTTCGGTCACTCACTCCTAAAAATAACTTCAATAGTTGCTAACTTTAAGGATTCATTTAATTAATAAATAACTCTAGTAACCTAAACTTACCTTAATCAATGAGCTTCTTTCTCTGGCTCTTGGTCCGTGTGTGTGTGTGTGTGTGTGTGTGTGTGTGTGTGTGTGTGTGTGTGTGTGTGTGTGAAAGCGCGCACCAGAGCTGTATCCTGGG